AATTTATTTTGAAAATCGTTTTTTCGCATTTTAGAATATTAAATCACTGTTTGTTTATGAAGCAAATATATATATATATATATATATATATATATATATATATATATATATATATATATATATATATATATATATATATATATATATATATATATATAAATTCATTTTTTTAGTGTCAATATAAATTAGTTATTTTATATACATATAATATTATAGTCAATATACATTAGTTATTTTTAGGATTTTTTTTTCAAAAAAATAAACAAAAACAACAAACATTAAATAGCAGAGTTTCAGTGGACCTATATAGGCATTTTGAGCGGACTGCTGTAGTTTAGCTCATCGTAATTTTAATTTATCAATTACTTTACCTGTTTCAAAAAAGAAATTAAAAGAATTCATAATTTTAAATGGTTCTGGCAACAAGATCATTAGATTTTCATTCAAGTTTTTATTTAATTTTTTTTTTTAATATGGTAATTATATTTTCCTAATGTAACTTGTTAAATGTATATTTATTATGTGTGGTCAGTGGCGTCACTAGTGTGAAGACCGCACCGGGTGATACCATCGCAACCTGACACAGAGGGGCGACACCATAAAATGCAAATTTGATAGAAATGCTTATGTTCGTGCTAAATTATATTTGCGTTTGACTAAACCAATCACTTTTTGGTGTTGATTTTTCAATTTTGTATATTATTAACTCTGCTATTTGTTCATTTCTCACACAAATCTTTTGCCTTTTATTCAAGATTGTATTTTGTATGCCTTTCACAAAAAATTGTATTTTGTCTTTTTTTTACAAAAGATTGTATTTTGTACTTCTTTCACAAAAAATGAAGACACTATAGTGTTGTGCTAATATTTGATTAACCATAATGGTATCTGATTTTAATATCTGGTTTTTATCACAAAACTATAATTTTCTATAAAAATTTAGACAATGTTTTTACAGTAAAACTTTTACTATATTAATTTCGACGCTAAAGAGCATTTAGCTTTCGTTATAGAAAACAATTGGATTACTTTATCTAATGCTTCTTTCTGAAATGTACCAGTTCCAGATCAATAATAACAAAACAAAAATTTCATTTTTGGTTTGAAATTGTCAAAAGAAAACGCTATTTTTGAGAACAATGGTAATCCATTTTTGTACAACGTTACTGTAGTAAAAAAAATAATTCTGTAAGTAAAGTTTATGGAGCAATGAATGAAACTTCAGTATAGCCTCCAGGATCAAGAGAAAAATGAAATTGATATTGATGGTATAATCCTTTGCAAACAATCATCTCAAGTCATGGTGTAACTGTTGTGAGTCAAGAGATTTGTATAAACCATTATTCTACAAGAGATTTGTATAAATCAACTGGAAGACATTTACATAAATACTTATGTTGCTTTTTGTAAACTGCGGACAAGTTCAGCCACTATTACTACCGCAGAAAAAAGCTTTTTAAATTTGAAGTTAATTAAAAATTATTTACGCTCAACAAAAATCCAACAGACATTGGCAATAATCCAAGACAACATGAATCCAAGAGACACTATTTAAACATTTGATTAAACATGTTAAAAAATATTAAACATTTGCTTAAAATAGGTCAAAAAATTTTTGTTTGCAAAAATGTAAAAAGTTTAACATATAGTGAAGTATCTAAAAAAAATTGTGAAGTGAATCCATCCTTATAGCAGCTAGCAGTGGCGGAACTTCAAAATTTGCCCCCCCCCCCCCCACAAAAGATTGTTTTTTTTGCGGAAAATAGTTTTATAGTATAAATATTATTGAGAGTATAACTTTTTTTATATGAGGACCCCCTATAGCTGGTAGGCCCCCCCCCCCGCAACGCAGGGTCCTGCGTCCAGTAGTTCCGCCACTGGCAGCTAGAAAAAGATCGTATAAACTTTTTAGAAAAATACACGCGTAATTAGGAGGAAGGCTGAATAGTATGTTTAGTTTTTATTAAAATCTATAAAATGTAATTGTACTCGTGGCCATAACCTAAAATATTCTAAAGAATTTTCTGTACATAATTATAGTGAAAATGTTTTACTAAATCGAGCTGCAAATTATTGGAATACACTGCCAGAAAATGTCTTTAAAGCTAATTCAGTCAATTCATTTAAAGCAAGACTTGATCGATGGGAGTCAAACCATCACAAGACTCAGCTGTCATAGTGTACTTTAAAACCACACTTACTGGTAGCAATACCAGTCACAGCATAAACCAATACTAATACTATATCTAAATATGCTTACAAGCCTTATGCTTATATAAAAAATACATATAACATATCAATTTAAAATGGTCAACTAAAAACAAGAATTATTAGAGAATCATTTGAAAAATCCAAATTTACTTTAGGCATTTTTATTGAATTGTCTAAAGCCGTTGATACAGCTGATCATAAAATTCTGTTAAAAAAGCTTAAATTTTATGGAATCTCTGGGAATTTTGAAGCTATTAAAAGTTATTAAAAAGTTATTCAAGAAATAGAAAGCAATTTGTTCACTATGATGTATTATTGAAGTCAAAATTGTTACATATAACATGCGGAGTTTTTCAAATATCTGTCCTAGGACCTCTACTATTTCTCATTTACATAAACAATCTTTATGAAGAACCAAATTTAATGACAATTATGTTTGCTTAACATAACGACAAGTTTCAAGGTATGAACATAGAATTAATTAAAATTTCTGAATGATTTAAAGTAAATAAACTTAAAAAAACAAAGTGGCCTCTTTTTTGTCTATACAACAAAAAAACATCTTCCACTAAGTAAATTGCCTGCTCTTTTTATATTTTATGACATGCAAATTAAAAGTGTAACGTCAGCAAACATAATTGTCATTAAATTTGATACTTCATAAAGATCGATTATGTAAATGAGAAATAGTAGAGGTCCTAGTAGATATAGTAGAGGTTTCATACTTGAGGATCTCCGCATATTAAATCTAACAATTGATGAAAACCTGACATAAAAAAGGCATTTAGACCTTGTTCACTAAAATTTTCAAAAGTATAGGAAGATTATACTTAGTTGCTGTAATCTCAAGAATTTATTCTTTAATATTCTATTTTTAATCTCAAGGTTTTAATTCTAGAAACAGTAACTGTTGTTATGAGCACAATAAGATTAAGCATTTGACTTTTGTACAGTATATTTAAAATTCAAATGCCTTTTTTAATATAATATGTATATCAATGTAATCGATGATAACTAAATCGATTATAACTAAAGCAATTAAAAAATCCTCAAAAATACAGCAAAAAACTTGATGTTTAATATCTAAATCAGATGAGCATAAAAATACCTACAGAGTATATAAAAATCTATTTAAAAAACTCCTTATTATTTCAACTTGCTTATGAAGCGCAAACATAATTTGAAGCGAGTTTGATAAATGAAAGAAGTTAACAAGTGTTAACATAATCCAACTTTTAGAATGTTTTGCTACAAAGCCAATGTTCGGGATACGAGATTATAACTGTAAAAATTAAAAAAAAAATAATCTAAAATCCCGGATCTTTTGGCTAAAATAAAAGGGTTTGGACCCTGGATCTGTTTGTCAAACTAAGATTTTGAATCGGACTATTTAATAAAAGCTTG